AAAATTTAAAATTAAATTAGCATAATTCAGACTATTTCGTTTTAGTCATTTTTGATAATTTATGTTCAACATGGGTTTTGTCTACTTCATTTTCTGTTATGGCCCAGCAAATCATCTTTCTTGGAAAATGTTCTATATGTGGTTGAAAAATATGTGTTTTTTGAGTCATGTATTTTGAATTTTTGTTATTGGGTATATATGCATTTATGACTTATTATTTTCCTGTTATGTGATCTTGTTATCATTAAGTTCGGTCCCTCTTTATCACTAGTGATGCTCCTGTTGTTAATGTTCTTATCTGATATTAATATTGCCTCTCTAGCTCTCTTTCAATTACTATTTGCATGGCATAGATTTTCTCCACTTTTTTAGTTTTAAGCTATTTTTGTCTTTGAATGGAATGGTGGTCTTTCATAGGCACAGTCTACTTGGATTATTACGCAATCTGACAACCTCCAAGTTAAATACTCTGTGTTTAAAAAAGAATATATATGTATATTAAATAAAATGTATCCACATCTATACTATTTTTAGCGCTCTTCATTCCTTCCTCCATATCTAAGTATCCATGTCATTTAGCTTCAGTTTGAAAGATGTTCGTTAATGTTTCTTATAGTTCAGTTCTGTTAGCAATGTATTTCCTCAGTTTTTAGTTACCTGGAAATTTATTTCACCTCATTTTGAAGGCTAGTTTTGGTTGTTGAGAATCTTTTTGTTTTAACCGTTTCAAAATGTCTATTTTCAATTTTTTCTAACTTTCCTTGTTTTTAATGAGAAATTAGCTATCATTCTTCTTATTATTGCCCTATTTGTGAATTTTTTTCCCCTGCTATGATATGTCCAGATGTATTTTTTGTTGTACTTATTCTGCTTTTTTCTTTCATTGATTTTGGAAAATTCTTAGACTTTGTCATTTGATCTTTCTTTCTTTTTTTTTTTTTTTTGCTCCATTCTAACACACATCTTATGCTGGACTATTGCTTTTTTCAGTTTTTTTTTTCTCTTCATATCTCAGAATAATTTTTATTAAGCCCATTGACTGGATTTTTCATATCTGATACTTTACTTCTCATTTCTAGCATTTCTTTCTGGCTACTTGTGTGCTTCTGGCTAGTAATATTTCCCATCTATTCATGGATGTTATTCAGATACACTAGTGTATAACATATTTATCATATCTTATTTGTTTCAAAGTGTTGTCTGATAATTACAACATTTAGGCCATCTTTTTTTGTGTGTATGTGCTTTAAGAGGAAGTTTACAATTCAAGTTAGTGTCTCATACAAAAATTTATACACACACGTTTGTTATGTGACCCTAGTTGCTCTTTCTGTACTGTGACAGCACACTCCTCCTTTCTACCCCAGATTTCTTGTGTCCATTCAACCAGCTCTTAACCCTCCTTACCTTCTCATCTCGCCTCCAGACAGGAGCTGCCTGTTTAGTCTTATGTATCTACTTGAGCTAAGAAGCACACTCCTCACGAGTGTCATTTTATATCCCATAGTCCAGTCCAATCTTTGTCGGAAGCATTGGCCTCGGGAATGGTTTTAGTTTTAGGCTAACAGAGAGTCCGGGTTTCATGTCTTCCAGGGTCGCTCCAGTCTCTATCAAACCAGTAAGCCTGGTCTTTTTACTAGAATTTCAGTTCTACACCCTACTTTTCCCCTGCTCCATCAGGGACTCTCTGTTGTGCCTGTCAGGGTGGTCACTGGTAGCCGGGCACCATCTACTTCTGGTCCCAAGCTGATGAAGTCTCTGGCTTATGTGGCCCTTTCTGTATCTTGGGCTAATATTTTCCTTGTGTTTTTGGTGTTCTTCGTTCTCCTTTACTCCAGGTGGGTTGGGACCAATTGATGCATCTTAGATGGCCACCCATTAGCTTTTAAGACCCCAGATGCCACTCACCAAAGTGGGATGTAGAACATTTTCTTAATAAACTTTGTTATGCCAGTTGACCTAGATGTCCCATGAAAGCATGGTCCCCAGACCTCCGCCCCTGCTACACTGTCCCTCCAAGTGTTTGGTTGTATTCAGGAAACTTCTTAGCTTTGGTTTAGTCCATTTGTGCTGACATCCCCTGTAGTGTGTGTTGTCCTTCCCTTCACCTAAGATAATTCTTGTCTACTATCTAGTTAGTGAATAACCCTCTCCTTCCTTCCACACACTTGTAACCATCAAAGAATGTTTTCTTCTGTGTTTAAACCTTTTCTTGAGTTCTTATAATAGTGGTCTTGTACAATATTTGTCCTTTTGCTACTGACTAAATTCACTCAGCATAATGCCTTCCACGTTATAAGATATTTCACTAATTGCTGTTCTTTATCATTGCGTAGTATTCCATTGTGTGAATATACCATAATTTGTTTATCCATTTATCCGTTGATGGGCACCTAGATTGTTTCCATCTTTTTGCTATCGTGAACAGTGCTGCAATGAACCTGAGTGTGTATATATCTATTTGTGTGACGGCTTTTATTTCTCTAGGTTGTATTCCTAGGAGTGGGATTGCTGGGTCGTATGGTACTTGTTTTTCTAGCTTTTTAAGGAAGTGCCAAATCGATTTCCAAAGTGGTTGTACCATTTTACTTTCCCACCAACAGTGTATTAAGTGTTCCAGTCTCTCCACAACCTTTCCAGCATTTCTTATTTTGGATTAATGCTAGCCTTATCGGGGTGAGATGGTATCTCATTGTAGTTTTGATTTGCATTCCTCTAATGGCTAATGATCGTGAGCATTTCCTCATGTATCTGTTAGCCACCTGAATATCTTCTTTGGTAAAGTGCCTGTTCATATCCTTTGCCCATTTTTTAATTGAGTTATTTGTCTTTTTGTGTTGTGGTTTTGCAGTATTATGTTGATTTTAGAGATTGGATGCTGATCGGATTTGTCGTAGCCAAAATTTTTCTCCTAGTCTATAGGTTGTCTTTTTAATCTTTCGGTAAAGTCTTTTGATGAGCGTAGGTGTTTGATTTTTAGGAGCTTCTAGTTATCTAGCTTCTCTTCTGGTGTTTGTGCATTGTTAATCATAGTTTGTATTCTGTTTATGCCATGTTTTAGGGCTCCTAGCATTATCCCTATTTTTTCTTCCATGATTTTTATCTTTTTAGATTTTATATTTAGGTCTTTGATCCACTTTGAGTTAGTTTTTGTGCATGGTGTGAGGTATAAGTCTTGTTTCATTTTTTTGCAGATGGATATCCAGTTAAGCCAGTACCATTTGTTAAAGAGGCTGGGTTTCCCCCATTTATTGGACTTTGGGCCTTTGTTAAATATCAGCTGCTCATAGGTGGATGAGTTTATGTCTGGATTCTCAATTCTGTTCCATTGGTCTATGTACCTGTTGTTGTACCAGTACCAGGCTGTTTTGACTACCATGGCAGTATAATAGGTTCTAAAGTCAGGTAGTGTGGGGCCTCACACTTTGTTCTTCTTCAGTAATGCTTTACTTATCCAAAGCCTCTTCCCTTTCCATATGAAGTTGATGATTTGTTTCTCCATCTCATTAAAAAATGCTGTTGGAATTTGGATCAGGATTGTATTGTATCTTTAGATCGCTTTGGGTAGAATTGACATTTTCACAAGGTAGAGTCTTCCTATCCATGAGCAAGGTATATATTTCCACTTATGTGGATCTCTTTTTTTTTTTCTTGTAGTAGTGTCTTGTAGTTTTCATTGTAGAGGTCTTTTACGTCTCTGGTTAGATTTATTCCTAAGTATTTTATCTTATTGGGGGCTATTATAAACGGTATTGATTTGGTGATTTCCTCTTCGAGGTTCTCTTTGTTGGTGTAAAGGAATCCAACTGATTTTTCTATGTTTATCTTGTATCCTGAAACTTTGCTGAAATCTTCTATTAGTTCCACTAGTTTTCTTGTGGATTCTTTGGGATTTTCTGTGTATAAGATCACATCATTTGCAGATAGAGATATTTTGAATTTTTACAGCAACATATAGAAAAATCAGCATAGCAGTATGTATGAAAATACCTTGCAGGGGGAGGGAGCGGTTGGCAAACAAACATAGAAGGCGTATGTTATTTGTATAAAAAATATGGTAATGTAATGAACTGTACATGGAAGATTGTTTACATTCTCTTTCTGTCTTCCCATTATTAGCACCGTTGCTCAGATTTTTCTGCCTCAGATGTTAAACAAGAATTATAATTTTCTAGTTGATTTTTTCAAATAGCTTAAACATGTCTATTTATATATTTATATTAATGTCCTGCAAGTTGCAGTACTTTAACCTTTAAAAAATGGGTGTATTTTGGATGTACTTTAGCAGTTCACTTCTTTAAAAATTCCCAATAATTTATAAATCTTTGGCCCGAGGAAAAATATACTTTGTACTGATTTTGATTAAATTTTAATACAGTGAATCAATCAGATAGAATGCATTTACACTGAATAGCAGTTGTCTAAATTCTGTTCCCGCACCCCCCACCCCCCCCGCTGGGAAATCCAGCTGGAAAACCAAAAACCAAACTTGTTGCCGTTGTGTCAATTCTGCCCTGTAGGGTTTCCAGGGAGCGGCTGGTGGATTTGAACTGCCGACCATTTGGTTAGCAGCTGAGCTCTTAACCACTGCACCACCAGGGCTCCTTTTAAGTGACAGGTTACATAAATCCATTTTATATTTGATTCCATGACTCTGAGCTGTCACTGGAAAAACACTTTTAGTAAATAGCTAAGAGTTGATTGATTTGTTAGATTTATAGATTTATAATAAATGAAAGTAAAGTGTTTTTGAGGTTATTCTATTTTGATTACATTTCTCCTTTTAACCATCCCTATCCTGCCTAAAAATATTTTTCATGTTTTTCTCAAGCCTAAATATTATAAGAAATGTTGATTTTTACCTCAGTTTTTTAATTGCATTGGTGAATATTTGTTTTCTTCTCAATAATTTAACTTATTCATGAATTAATTTATGAAATTTCACATTCATATATGTATTTTTTCCTTTTGGTGTCTTTTTTCCCTCCCCCTAATTTTAGGATCCTCGTCGTAGTCTTGCAGGAGAAAATCGCTGCCTTTGATAGCTGTACTTTCACAAAAAAATTCTTTGTCACAAGTAGGTACCAAATTGTTTTATTTCCTTTCATATGCATTTGAGTTTATACTTCTTGCTTGAAAGAGTTAGCAAACTAATTGTAATCTTATATTTTTGTCAGTGCTTTATGGGTTGTCACTTTTGATGTTACTACTGTAATTCTATGGATGTCCTCAGATTCAGTTCTACAGTTTTTTGATATGTGTTTTCAACTTTACAACACATTCCTTTGTTACTGAGAAAGCTACATACTGTGTTTTCTCAATTTCTCCTTGTATGAAAAAATTTCAGTAGTTATGATTTAGTTTCACCTAGCTATTTCTTATATTTAAAAACAGTTATTAAGTTACTTAGTTAACATACATACTTGAAGAGGTAACTGGATTATCCTATATGATGGATGAGGAATTTGAAGCTCTCTTTCTAATCCTTCACAATTTCTACTACTGCCCAGAAGTGCAGCAATAATCATAGACTTCAGGATCCAAACTTTAATCCATACCATTCCTTATCAGTAAGGATCCTGAAGTTTTCTTGAATGAGAAAGCGTGGTCTTTGGGAGATGCTAATTGCTAATTTTAAAGGAGAAATTCTATTTTTTAGTAAAATCCTTTCAACTTTTCTGGTACTAGAGGAAAGTTGTCCTTGTTTAATTTTTTATTTTATCTCCTCTTCCTCCCTGCCATGATTCCTAGCTTTAGCTTATTTTTATTTTTGCTAACTTCTTCAATATCTGGTGATTTCTTTTTGTACTTGAAAACAGTGGGAGGAAACAAATCCAAGATGAGGATCCTTCTTTTTGTGCCAGATTTTTGCTTCTACATAAATGTTCATTTGTACCATCTGTGCTTTTTACCTATGAAGTGTTACACTCTGATGGGTTAGGATACTCTGGGCTAGTAAGACTACAAGCAGTAAAAAATTTATAGATAAAGAGTAACAAATATTTTTCCATGTAAAATTTGTTCTTGGGTTTTGTTTTGAAAGTTGAAGGGTTAATGATTTTCTGGTTGTCTAGGACTGAAAATGTGAAGTAGAAACTGGAGGGTTTCTTTCTTTGTTTTTTAATACAGTCTGGAAAAACAATGATTTGCTGTCTTTGTCCTCTGTATCTTAAGTTCTACAATTGACCATGGAAGCTGAGGCTAACTTTTTCTGGATCATCTGATATGTATATGCTACATTGCTTCAGAAATAATTCTGTTGAAAAGAATCTCATCTTTGTTATGGCTAGGGAATACCAATCATATATGCTGCATCTTTTGATATATCTCATCTATTTAAATACTTAGTTATCAGATGTGTACTGAATACCTGCTATGTGTCAGCCTCCCTGCTAAGACAGACTAGGAAGAAGGACCCGATGGTCTACTTCTGAAAAAATTGTCCAGTGAAAACCTTATGAATAGCAGCAGAACATTGTCTGAAGATGAGCCCCTCAGGTTGGAAGCCTCTCAAAATATGACTGGGGAAAAGATACCTCTTCAAAGTAGAGTCGACCTTAATGATGTGGATGGAGTCACGCTTTCAGGACCAAAATGAGAAGAAACAGCTGCAAAAATCCATTAATAACCAGAATGTGGAATGTACGAAGTATGAATCTAGGAAAATTGGAAATCGTTAAAAATGAAATGCAACACATAAACATTGATATCCTAGGCATTAGTGAGCTGAAATGGACTGGTATTGGCCATTTTGAATCAGACAATTGTGTAGTCTACTATGCCAGGAATAATAAATTGAAGAGGAATGGCATCACATTCATTGTCAAAAAGAACGTTTCAAGATCTATCCTGAAGTACAGTAGCGTCAGTGATAGGATAATATCCATATGCCTTCAAGGAAGACCATTTAATATTAATATTATTCAAGTTTACGCTCCAACCACTAATGCCAAAGGTGAAGAAATTGAAGATTTTTACCAACTTCTGCAGTCTGAAGTTAATAAAACATGCAGTCAAGATGCATTGATAATTGGTGTTTGGAATGGAAAAGTTGGAAACAAAAAAGAAGGATCAGTAATTGGAAAATATGGCCTTGGTGATAGAAACGATGCTGGAGATCACATGATAGAATTTTGCAAGACTAATGACTTCTTCATTACAAATACCTTTTTTCAACAAAATAATGGTGACAGCTATACACATGGACCTTGCCAGATGGAATACACAGGAATCAAATCAACTACATCTGTGGAAAGAGATGATGGAAAAGCTCAATATCATTTATGTCAAGGGAGAATAAAGAAAACTGGAGACACAAGGGAAAGATTAGTCCAAAGGACTAATGGACCACAGCTACCACAGCCTCCACCAGACTGTGAGCCCAGCACAACTAGATGGTGCCCGGCTACCACCACTGACTGCTCTGACAGGGATCACAATAGAGGGTCCTGGACAGAGCTAGAGAAAAATGTAGAACAAAATTCTAACTAAAAAAAAAACCCGACTTAGTGGTCTGACAGAGCCTTGAGACACCCTGAGAGTATGGCCCCCGGACACCTTTATATCCGAGTAATGAAGTCACTCCTGAGGTTCACCCTTCAGCCAAAGATTAGACAGGCCCATGAAACAAAATGAGACTAAATGGGTACACCAACCCAGGGGCAAGGATGAGAAGGCAGGAGGAGACAGGAGAGCTGGTAATGGGGAACCTAAGGTTGAGAAGGGGAGTGTTGATGTCTTGTGGGGTTGGCAACTAATGTCACAAAACAATCCATGTATCAATTGTTTAATGAGAAACCAGTTTACTCTGTAAACCTTCATCTCAAGTACAATAAAAAAATTAAATTATTTTACTTAAATGGAAAACTCTAGGAATCAGATTTATGCATTTGATTTTAGGTTGGTAAGACTGATGGTATTTGGTAAGTAATTGTATGAAGGAATTTAACTTATTACCTAAAGTGACTTGTATCAGTAGTTTAAAAAAAAAATTGACATGACCTGACTTTTAATATCAAGGACTAAAGGGTACCACTGCCTTATTTTTGTCTAATCTCTGCATCTTCCCCCAGTTCGTTTACACAGACTGAAACTTTTGGTGGGTGGAAAGAGGCATTGTATAAATTATGTACAAAAACTTGGGTTTTTGATATCCCTTATGTGTATGCTGATTTTGCCTGGTGGTCTGAAAAGGGGATTAGGAGACAGAAGATCTAGGGTAGGGGGCGGGCAGGGCATACTGTGATAGCATTGCTGGCAGTCCATTTGCTTATGCCACATAGTTTTTCTCCATTGACCACAAGCATTGTCCAAAGAAAGTGACAATAATATAGACAAGTTCTGCACTTAATGAGAGTACTATTTTTGATCATGCTACCATTTAGTATCTAAACTAGTTTGAAAAGTTTTTGTGTAATACAATTCTGAGTGCCATAGGTATGTATGAATACAATGAAGGAACTGTAAAATAAGTAGAGACAGCTGTGCCCATCAGAGCAAGCATCATGGGAATTTGTGCCAGAGGGTGGAAGGAACAAGTAAAGAGATCTGATAGAGAACTGGGAAAGGAACACAGCCAGTATGATGAGAAAGGAGACACCTTTGTATTTGACTGTACAGAAAAGGTGGCCTTGAGCAGCTGTCTGATGTAGAAATCCAAAACCCAGGTATGATTAAGAATACAAAAGACAAAGACTGATAGATGTCATTAGCAGTCATTTCCACTGTCCTTAAATTGAAATGTAGATATAGAGTCTCAGGGGAGCAAGCAAGCTCTTTCCATTGGCCTCTGTTTTTGCTTTACGTAGGAAAAATAGTATGTTATTTCTTAGTGTTAGTATGGGTGTCCTTGATTAATGCAAATAATGAATAACAAATAGGAGTTTTAAAACAGAAAAGTGTTTTTAATATTTGAAAGAAGAGCTTTGCTTTTTATATTTAGAAACAAGTTTGTAACATTTGTGACAGGGGATTCATGTGTTCTTGTGAAATCCAGGCTCATTTTTAGTTTAAGGATGTATATAAGAGGCTTGTTAATAAGCTGTAAGATGATCAAATAAATCTCTGAAATGGTGTTCAGTATTTTATATTCACGTGTATTGTTCTGGAGAATGTATCCCTGATTTTTGCATCAGACTTTTTAAGGAGTAACCAATACAAACAAGATTCAAGAATTGCATTTAGAAACACCTGCTTTTCGTGCACCGTACAATTCACCCATTAAAAGTGTAAACTCAGTGGCTTTTAGCATGTTCACAGAGTTGTGAAACCATCACCATAATCAATTTTAGAACATTTTCATCACCCCAGAATGAAACCCTGTAACCTGTAGCCATAATCTTTCCATGTCCCCCAGCCTTAGGCAACCACTTATCTACTATGTGTCTCTGTAGATTTCCCTGTTCTGGCCATTTCATATAAATGGAATTATACAATATATGACTTTTTGTGTGTGGCTTCGTTCACTTAGCATAATGCTTTCAAGGTTTTTCTGTGTTGTAGCATGTATCAGTACTTAATTCTTCTTTATGGTTGAAGAACATTCCATTGTATGGATATACCATATTTTGTTTATCCATTCATTAGTGATGGGCATTTTGGGTTGTTTTCATCTTTTGGCTGTTATGAATAATGCTGCTGTGAACATTTGTGTACAAGTTTTTGTGTCTCATATGTTTTTATTTCTCTTGCGTATATACTCAGGAGTGGAATTGCTGGGCACATGGTCACTCTGAGTTTAATTGTTGAGGAACTACCAGGTTATTTTCCTAAGTGGTTGTACAATTTGACATTCCCACCAGCAGTGTATGAGAATTCCAGTTTATCCACATCCTCACCAATACTTGTTATTATCTATCAACTTTTTGATAGACAGTAGTGGTATCTAGTCCTAGTGGTATCTCATGAAGTGGTATCTTATTTTGGATTTCTCTCATGACTAATGATGTTGAGCATCTTTTAATGTGCTTATTGGCCATTTATATGTCTATGGAGTAATTTCTGTTCAGATCCTTTGCCCATTTTTTAATTGGGGTATTTGTGCCTAATCCAAGGTCATGGATAGTTACTATGTTTTCTTCTAAGAGTTTAATAGTTTTGCTCCTCCATTTAGGTCTTTGATCCATTTTGAGTTAATTTTTGTATGTTGTATATTGTGTGAGAATATCCATTTGTCCTAGCACCATTTGTTGAAATGACTGTTTTACCCGACGGAATGAACTTGACACACTTGTTGAAAATCATTTGATTGTAAATGTGGATATCTGCTTTTTAAAGTAAGGTTTGTAGACTTGTGAGTTGACTTTGCCAAGAAAAATAAGACCAAGTATTACAGAGTAGTTAAAGCTTTTGTTTTTCAAAATGAATTCAGGTCACCTGTCCATTGGACCAATCACTGGGACGATACCATATAAAATTGCATGACTCTCATGTGCCTTCTTAATTACTGGAAAAAAGTCTTTCCTAATGGAAGACTCTTCATTTAGTGTGCTTTTATTGGATTTTGTTTTTATTTAAATTTGGAAACTTGGGTGATTTTAACAGCCAGGTCTCCTTATTTTGTTCACAAACATTGTAAGCTTGTTAGAATTATTTTTAGCCTTATAGAGGTTAATTTTTTCCCCCTTTCATTTGTTTTCAAAGATTAGCTAGAGGCAAAAGTTAATCTTTGAAAGAGTCATGCTTATAAAGTTGAGATAGTGCTGAGTGGCTGATGTTCTGCTGATTCTAGCTATAAAATTGTTTTTTGGAGAGCAGTGAAAACAATTTGCTTTTCATTCCAATACACTATAGTTTTTGAGGTCCACTGAGCTTCTAAAAACATCAAACTCAAAAAGTGAAATGAAAAATTGTAAATTACATTTTCCCTTATGATCCTTTAGTATTTTTAAACGAGAATATATTTATTAGCATCTATTGAGGTTGAAGTGGTTATAAGAATTGATAGAGTTAGATTATGTTGACTTTTTAAAAGCTAATTAAGGAGATTAATTACCTCTAATGAGATGTTGGAGTCCATGGGCAGTACAAATGGTTAAATGCGCTTGGCTGGTAAGCGAAAGTTTGGAAGTGCAAAAGCGAAAGTTTGGAAGTGCAGAGTCCACCCAGAGGTACCTCTGGGCCTGACCATCTACTTCTGAAAAATCTGCCAATGAAAACCCTATGGAGCACAATTCTACTCTGACACACATAGGGGTGCCATGAGTTGGAATTGACTCCATGGCAACTGATAATGTTATGCCAAGTTCACAGGTATAGTCACATTTGGTTCTATTTTTCTTGACAGTTTTTAAAAGGTGGAAAACTTTCTTATAGAACCATATTTACACTCATTTCTTCAGCTCTGAAATTTTCTATGGAATATGTGTATATATACACATTTATAAAGTTAAGTATATTTTTGTATGAATAATGTTAGTTTACTCAGTAGGAGTCTAATAATGAAATTTATTATCTAAAAAGTGCACAATATATATTAGAGTGTGTTGTTTTGTGTATGGATATAGTAATGTCACATTACCCATAGATCAGAGTTCTAGAAACCCAAAGCCTACCAAACATATACCTTCAAATCCTGGAAGAAACAGAAGATTTTTAACAATGAAGCAAATAAAAATAAGAGGGCTTATACCTTTCATTTTATATGACTTGTGGAGTTTCTCTCTGGGTCATTGTTTTCTTTTCAAAATGAAGGTGTGCTCTTTCAAAATAGATGGTAGTTCAGGGAGCTGAACTAAAAACTGCTCAGTAATGGAGCAAACAGCCATGTATCCTTCTTTGGTACTTGTGAGCACAGCAATACTGACATAGTCACAGTGATGCCCAAATGCTACTCAAAGGCTTTTTGAAATAGGGAAGCATGTTATATAAATTTATGAAAGATTTCAGTTAATAAAGGACTTGAGAATGAAAGAGCTGGCTCTTAGGAGTGCATGCTATTTTGGATATTTGGAAAACTTATGTAGAGAATTTTATTGTTTAACATTGCCTAATGCATTGATTACTGTAATTAGACATTTAATGAGTGTCTGCTATGTGTCAGGTACTGTTCTAGGTAATGGAGATTTAGCAGTGAACAAAACAGACATAAATCCTTGGCCTCACATATCCTTCTAGAAAAAGATAGAAAATAGATGAATAAAAAAATATTTATCATAGGACATACAAATATTTTATTTTTTAAGTTTTTGACTGTAAATGTCAAAGAAGTTAATTATTCTTTTTCTTATGATAAAGATGCTTTTGAATAAAATACTATATGTGGGTCCATACATGTATCAAAATTTATCAAATTATACAGTTTATGTATGTACAGTTTATGTCCATTTATTACCGACACAAACTGTTAAAAACAAAACAAAACTATGAACTGGTCATATCATTGTAACCTTGGCAGTATTCTAACGTTCTGGACTTCTAGAAACTAATGCCTGACACATGAAATGATTTACTTGTTTGCTGTAGACTCAGCTGTTAGACAGACATACATTGATTACTCTCGTCTCCATAGGGTCAATAACATAGATTGAGAACTGCTGGGTAGGGTATTGTCACTTGTGCAGCTTATAATGCAGTTCATGCCCTCTTTTGCCATTATGTTCATGTATTTCATGTAATTTGGCTATCTTTTGCAGTAGGAGAAATCTGTTACTGTGATGAAATCTTGTCTGTCTCCGGATTGTATAAATTTAGATTCCAGATTAAGACATAAACAATGAAATAGATAACCTCAGTTTGATCCTCAGGTGTTCATTTTAGAGAGAAACATTTGTGAAAAATTAAGGAGATACTTATGAAATGATAAGCTAGGACTTAAGGGGATTCTTTAGATTAATCTTTTATGTTCTTTGAATTCTTTGCAGTCTATTTTGAGTTGTCTCTTTAAGGCAGTTTTGTGAGACAATAAAGTATTTTTTGTTTAGGGCACAGATGAGGACCGAGACTCAGGAACCTCATTTGCATAGCCAGGAGGAGAAGATGACAGCCTCTGGATGACAGACACCATTCAATTATGTTGTTTCTTCGTTAGTAGAACTCTGTAACGTGGTTTTGAGCTTCCCATACATTGAAGTTGTTCACTGTCAGGGATATTTAATATATTCTTACTGAAAGGATAGAACCACAAAATAATCCTTCTTTCTAGTGTTGTTATTGGTTGGGACTGGAAGCAAGAAGAATGAAATTTAGTGCTTATTGTAGAGTTTCCAAGGTGCACCTGGTGAATTCAAACTGCTGACCTTTTGGTTAGCAGCCATAGCACTTAACCACTATGCCACCAGGATTTCCATGTAATATTTAGGATTGTGTAAATGATTCCTCAGCATCTTTCTACTGAGGCACCCTTTGTGGGTATTTTTAACCTCAGTTTATTCTTCTCATTGGCCCTACACTCAAGTCTTTTTCTTTTTTTTTTTTTAAATTTTTTTGTTTTTCTTTACCATAGTATGTAAGTGTGTGTATATGTATCTGATAGTCTTCTTTATCTTTTTCTCTTAAATTCCTGACCCCATTGTATCCTTTCTCTCTCCTGTCTCAACATTCTTGCTTGAGTTAAGAATTTATGGACTTATGCTCTTTAAATGATTCCTGTTAGCTTCTCTCTCTTATTCTAGGAATAACTATGAAATTCCCATTTTTTGCTAAAGGTGATTAAGAGTTCTTTCCAAATTTGTTTCTTATTAGAACAGAATCAAAATAAAAATCAAACTATGTAGAGGAGGGAAAAAGAAATCTTTACCCTTAGCTATAACGACTAGTGTTATGGGAATTTTATCTGAAACTTTAAAATTTTTTTTTTTTTAACTTTTCTGTTTTTCTGGCCAACGTAAGAGTCACCAACAGAAAAGTTAATAAGAAAGTTCTCAATATTGTCATTTCAAATTTTTTCAGGCTGCTATCCTTGTCCTGGGCCAAACATGAATCCTATTGCTCTTGGGAGCCGCTGGCTTGTTTATGCAGAAAACAAGGTAAGGCATGGCCAATGTTTAGATTATATGTAATGGAGTGAGTGTTGAAGGAGTTTCCATTGTAGATACCTATGCTCCATAGATGATTACCGACCAAAAATTAATGTTTAACTTACTAGTTTATTTTTTGTTTTATTTGGCTGTAGTTGTGTAATCCATAATCTTCCTATCTCCCTTCTTGCTTTTGATCAGTATTTGGACTCTGTAAAGAATTCATAAACATTTGACTCTGTAGAACTTTAATTTTCTAGGCTCTGTATAGAGTAGTTCACTCTATTAATCTCAAAGGACAGCATTGAGGTTATCACAAAACAACAACAAAACCAAACCCATTGCCGTTGAGTCGGTTTCGACTCACCCCAGTACTGGTGTTAAAAAATCAGCAGTTTCTGTGAAGCTAGAGATTGTGTCAGAAATGACCTCTGTCTTCATCAGTAGATTGGGGACCTGAGGCATAGAATAATTTAATTGACTTTAACTTTATGCTTAAAACTAGACCCAAATAAGAGTTTAGCCATTTATTTTAATAATGAAACTGCTGATCTTATCTATTAAGGTGAGTATAATAGAGTGAAGATATTATATTTGTACACTGAGAGTTTTATTTATGTCCACATAAGACAAGTGTTAAATTTGAATTTTTAAAAAGGAAGTTAAATCCTTTTTTACCCTGTCTGTGAATGTAGAATAAAATCTAAAAAAATATTAGAGACTTCAAAGAGGATTAGTACTTTTGATTTCATTTTTACCTGTTTGTTTAGTTATCTTATCATGCAAATAATATGAAATAATACAAATGACAAAATCAAGATGTGGTAAATAAAGTTACTATTTGGTGAGGCCATAGAGCTAGCAAATCTCTAGCCTCTGGAATACACAAAATCAAACTGTTGAAGTAAAGTATTTTTCTAGATGAATTCCTTGATACTTTATCTAAAATTCTGTCTGTAACAGTTATAGCCAGTGCAGTATTATGTTCTGTCCTCTCAATTTTCCAGTGTATCTAATTAAAAAAAGTTCTTTCCAAATTACTCTTTTTATACTTTGTTGACAAGTGGTATATAATTCAGTGTGATGACATAATGATTTTTTCTACTATTCACATCTGTAATACATTTCTTATGAGTGTTGAACACAACTAGAAGATATATAAATTGTCTCTTGGCTGTTGTAGCTGTATTCTCACATGTGGGAAACTGCCCATTTACAATTGGTGGTATTATGCAAATAGTTATCTATTGTTTTCAAGGGGAAAGAGCTCCCTTCATAGATTCATAACCTGGATGTATGCCAGTTGTTTTGCCTTTGCAAAGATACATGTCAATAATATCTGGTCTCATACACAGAGACCAGAAAATGTAGTGGAATTCACAAGGAGTTTGCTAATCAGATAGTTGTGCCACCCTTGGAAGAAACATTTCCATAGTATTTCCGTAAGAGCTAGTATTTATTACCAATTTGGAGCCCTGGTGGCACAGTGGTTAAAGTGCTCGGCTGCTAACTGAAAGGTTGGCGGTTTGAACCCACCAGCTGTTCCATAGGAGAAAGATGTGGCAGTCAGCTTCCATAAAGATTACAGCCTTAGAAACCCTATGGGGCAGTTCTCCTCTGTCCTGTAGGGTCGCTATGAGTTGGAATTGACTCGATGGCAGTGGGTTTGGTGTTTCTTTGTTTGTTGGTTTTGTAGCTTTTGGGCTGAGTGTAGAGTTACAAAAACGGAATTTTAGTTTTTGAGTGATAATCACTCTCTATTAAAGTCAGTGAAAATGCTCTTTGACTAAAATCTTAATCAAAAAGCCCTATATCTTGTTAGGGATTTTTGTTTTTCAGTGCCTCTTTTTAAAAATATGTATTAAACGCAGAACACTTACAGTAAACTTGCAAAAATAACTATAGTTCAAATAGCACAAATACCACAAATAACACCCATGCAGTCTTTACTCTCCCTGTGTCTCTCCCTCTCCCTCTGTCTCTCTCTCCCGATGTTCCACTCTGTATCTCTTCCTCTCGCTTTTTCTGTCTCAGTCTCCCCCATGCACTTCTTCCACCTTCCTCCAGTTCTTCCTCCCTCACTCCTTCTCCCTCACTCTTCCCTCCTTCCTTCTTTCCTTCCTCCCTCCCTCCTTCCTTCCCTTCTCTATGGTTATGGCCTTCATTTGATGTATAATTGGATACATTCATTTTTATATTTATGTAACACACACGCACTTATATTTCCCCTTCTTTCATAAAAGGTAACATATATGCTTTTTTACACATTGCTTTTTTACTTAACAATATTTCCTGGATATCAGTCCATTTGCTAAGAGTTACTGCATTACAGAAAATTCTGACTCATCTTTAAGTTAGATTAACCAAGACACAACGAAATTTTCTGATTCTAAATTTAAACCATAATTTCTGGCTTATTTAAATGCTGGGTCAGATTTAGCTGATATGAAAAAGGAAGAATGTGATCTATTTTCACACGTTTGTTCTTAAGTATTTTAGTTACCTGAAGCAGGGAAAAGATGGTAGCATTTCCAAAATGCTGTTTTTCCTTGCACATGCAGCAGGAGGCAGCAGAGGGATAGCTTTCATAATTCTTTCAATGTGTGTTTGTGAATGAAAGAGTGCATGAGATAGAGATTCTTTTTTAATAGATAAAACAATCACTTTTCAAACTTCCTGCTTTGCCCTATATGAAAACATTTGCTGGTCACCTGTCACTTGGAAGATTTCTCACCACTCAGCACAAAATCTGCTTAAACAACCACTCAGTAAGGCATAGCGAGATTGCCTAATAAATAGCTTGACATCTAATATCATACTTTTAAAAGATATTCCATTCTGTTATAATGTATTAATACTCCTTTGAAGTTTTCTCAACAATATCAATGATGAATAAAAATTTAAATTTAGAGTAAAGGGATTATGTACCAATCCTCAGGAGCCCTGGTGGTGCAGTGGTTAAGAGCTATGGTGAACTATGGCTGGTAACCAAAACGTTGACAGTTCAAATCTTTATCAAAGGGCATGGTTTTGAATTATGTGAAGCATTTTTTATTTTTTTGAATTCTGGGAAATGTAGATTCTTTGCGAATTCCAGATACTTTAAAAATTCATTTTACAATGTGGTGCTATTCTACTATTTTCATTTTATTTCTTTTAGATGCTTCTAACAATATTTTCTAACAGACTTTTTTTTTAGAGCAGTTTTAGGTTTACATAGATTTCCCAGATACCTCCTCCCCTTCTGCACACTATTTCTTCTATTATTAACATCTTTCATTCCTGTGGTACATTTGTTACAACTGATAAATCAGTATCGATATATTATTATTAACCAAAGTCCATAGTTTATATTAGGGTTCACTCATTATTTTTTTTAAGAGATTAGATTTAAAAATCTGGCCCTATTTTTATGGATATAAAACCTTTTTTTTTCTTGTTGAATATAGGAAGTGTAAGACCAGTGGGGAATTTAATCCTGGTTTATTATTGCTCAGCATCTGACTGAATCTTCCATATCAAACTAGTGATTCACTTAGAAAATTGGCAGGAGTATTTATGTCAGGCACAAATAAGGGCATATCTTTTTTATTCCTAATGCTAAAAGTACTAAGTTCTCTGAAGTGGACAGCTACTATGTGTTATGGTCGATTTATGCATAATTTGTGCCACTTTTCTACTGATAATTGAAAGCGGATATATGGCAAATTCTTTTGTCCATTTTAAAAAAAAATTTGTTTCCTTTTACAGTCTTTATAGAGGAATTAAGAGTACAAAACATCCAATTTGCCAGAATGTCAAATATTTAATGTTAGGAAGTCATGTCTAAGTCACTTGATCATGTTTTTAAAATTTATTTGTGGAAAGGCTGCCAGCCCCAAATCCTACCATTTCAGAGTTTATGAATTCTTAAAGACTATTCTGTAGTTAAGCATGAAACTGTGTGAGTGGCACCAGTGGATTATAAAAAGAGGTAAAAGTGTCTCAGCAGAGCTTTTAGCTGTTTGTCTGAAATACACTCATGCAAACATTCCCACCCACCACCATCATTATGCATGGTAAATAAACTTTAAACTGTTTAACTCAACAGGCTATTAGGATAAAGAAATAACTTTCTGGTTCTTTCTCTCTTTTTTCCAGTTGATTCGATGCCATCAATCCCGTGGTGGAGCCTGTGGAGACAACATTCAGTCTTATACTGCCACAGTCATTAGTGCTGCCAAAGTGAGTACCTCAGTAGTCTCTGGGAGAAGTTATCAGGTTTCTCCTCTGAATTATATTGAGATTGTCCCTTCCCTTTTCATTCAGAAATGTGTAGTATACTTTCAGAAGTCAATCAGAATTATTTTGCCACTCATGAGTATTGGTTACTAAATGATTTGATATTTAATGTCTCAAGGTTCATAAATAATACTTTATTTTCTATTTTAACGGTTATAGAGTTTGTACTTACCCTACTTTAAATATTTAAGTCGTTAGCTAGATTAAAGGCTGTTATGTAATTAATACCACTTTTGAAAGAAGCTTCAACATGTTTTAAGAGTGACTTCTGGATTCTTTGTGATCTGCACTGTTCTACCTACATTGACATCCCTTTGCATCTTTGGACATTTTTGAGTCGTCTTGACGTAAAAAAAGTATCATTCCTTAAGAAAACTTTAACCAAATCCCTGGCACATTCAAAGATTCTTTCATATCAGGGGGCTCCCCCCTGCATGTTTGTCAAGTGAGTTCTTTTCTTGTGTGGGGGTTTAATTTTGATGTTCGCTGGTAAACTTTATATGCTGATTATAAGGTATTCTTATAACTACTATCGTTTTGAATTGTGAAGTGTACAACAAAACAATTCTAATAATAGGGATGACAGAGTTAATCTAAATAACAGCATGTAATAGAAAGCACAACTATACAGAAAAGAACAACAGTTTAAAGCAAACCACAGGGAGAGAATCAAAGGTCACACTATTTTATGTAAAACAAATACAAAAATACTTCAAGATTGATCACAAATGCTTACACGATGTGCTTTAGAATGTGCTCCTTGTTTTGGTGGGAGAAGCATTGTGTCTTTTTCACTCAAATGGAAAATACTGAACAAATCTTACATTTACAATACTATATATTTTATATTTCAGAATTTTTATAAAGATTGATCAGTTTTTTCCATTGTATATGCAGAAATTATTGTTAAGATTTCGGCTGCTAACCAGAAGGTTGGCAGTTCAAATCCACCAGCCACTCCTTGGAAACCCCATGGGGTAGTTCTACTCTGTCCTATAGGGTTGCTATGAGTCGGAATCGACTCGATGGCAATGGGTATGGGTGTGCAAAAATTATGATGGTTATTTCAAAGAAGAAAAATCGAACGCAGAATAATTAGTCAACATCTTCATTGTTATTTAATAAGTGTGTAGTGTTTTCACAAAATGTATCAATGCAGTTTGGGTCTTATCCCTGTTAGACTAGTCTGCCTCATACGGTTTGATCAGAATTGCTCAGTGTATTATCCTTTTGAGTTAATTTTATTTATGGGGTGGATGACACTTTCCCACACCTTACACTCAATACTGTGAACTGTGAGGCATATACTGATGTCTTCCATATTTAGACTAACAAATGAGACTGATGACAACACCTTAATCCAGTCAATTTGCCATAGGCCATTACTCACCAACAGGTTGATTGGAATTCAGTGGTAGCCCTGGTGATATATGAAGATTTCCCATTATCTCCTGAATATTGTGTGTAAAATTTACTTTTGTTTAATTGTTTTTGCCAGATTGTAATGTTTATTCATGTTCACAGTTGTAAATTTAGAAGATGAAGGAAAGATATAGCCATGAACATAGATATCACCCATTTCTTGATAGTATTGTGTGTATCAGTCATTTTTTGATAGTTTTTTTTGTGTCTGTGTATGTATATAGTGAAACCTGTAAGAGCCAGAACTTGATGGGACTGCCTTGTTTTTGGGTCTTGCAAGTTTTCCTCTTTTGACACTTTTCTGTTGCTCATTTTAGTGGATAGAGCAGATTTCCGCCTTACACAGGTTCTGGCTTTCACAGGTTTTCTGTACATCATACATGTAATATATAAAATTACTCACATGTGTAATTTTTAGAAACACTTCCAGTTCAATACCATATATTGTACTTTGCCCTTTTAATTTATCACTGTACCTAATTTTTTAAAACATTTTCCTTGTATCGATATCATCTCTGTTTGTCTGTTTCTGGACTCCTCAGGCAAAGGGCATAAATATTTTGAAATTTCTTCAAAAATATTGCTAAAACACCTACCAGAAATAAAGTGACCCTTCATTTCACTTCCAAGGTGTGGAGATTTTATATAGAAAAAGATGGTGAGGTCGACCCCCCTCCTCCCCTTCCCCCTCCGCTAGTGGTAGTTCTCATAGTGAGGTGTGTTATATATTATATACTTTGGTTTATATTAGCCTTCTGAAGTGTACAGCAGTTCCAGTTTTACGTAATAACTTCATCAAAGTTACTTCTCTAATGAAATAGTACAATTTTAAGTATATTCTCTTTTCGTTGCTCTTAAACTCACAGCTTATTAAATAAGCCTTATTTTAGTCACCTTTTTTCCTAAAATGTTTGTTCGTTTTTATTCTTACTTTACTTTTTAAGCGTATGTTCCCAGAAAGAACTCCTTATACTCCTATTATATTAGCATGTTCACTTGGGAAAATTTGTTATGTGGTACACTTGTAATTCATAGATTTTTCTGTTTTTTTTTTTTTTTTTTTTTTGAGTATAAAAATTCCCTTAAAAAACAAACAAACAAATAAACTCACAAAGACGTCTTCAGGACTAGAAACCTCTGTAGAATTATATCAAACATTTAGGACTAAAAATGGCAATATTACAAAATCTCTTCCAGAGATTAGTAAAAATGATATACCTTATCTTGGTCTATGATGCTAGATCAGTTTGATACCAAAACTTGACAAGCACTATGAAAAAGAAAACTACAGTCCTTCTTACTCAGGAACATACCAAAAACTCACTGCCATCAAGTCAGTTCCCACTCAAAGCAACCCTATATGACAGAGTAAAACTTCCCCGTAGGGTTTCCAAGGCTGTAATTTTTACGGAAGCAGACTACCACATCTTTCTCCCACGGAGCGGCTCTTGCGTTTGAACCACCAACCTTTCAGTTAGCAGCCAAGTGCTTTACCCACTGCTCTGCCAGGGCTCCTTACTCATGAACATAGATGTGAAAAATCCTAAACAATCAGCCAACCTCCCCCTCCCCCCCAAAACAAAGGGCAATATATAGTAAGGGTAATGTGTCACAGTCTAGTTGAGATAATTCTGCATTCTAAGTCTGTTTTGTCACTCTGTAATTTGCCACATTAACAGAATAAAGGAGAAAAATTATATCATCATCTCAATTGTTACTCATAAGGTGTTTGATAAAATCCAACTTGTATTCACTAGTAAAATCATTTAGTAAATACAGGCAGTCCCTGAGTTACGAACATCCAATTTACAACTTGTACTTGCCCTTAAATGTTCTGTAAATTTGCCCTCACTTTGAAACAGTTGAACCAGCCCCTACTCACAACAAATTCTTCACCTTCTTCATAAAATCACCTTGTGATTCTTCACACAATCACCTTCACTTGCTGCACATGCAGCTTTTAAATCATTGAAAAGGCTTCTAGCCTTTTCTTGCACTAAAGTAAGGCTAAATAAGAACTGTATGCACCTGTTCCAGCTTACCTAGAAATTCTTAAAGACACATTCAGAAACAGATCTCATTTGTAACCTGGGGACTGCCTCTAGTGATAGTTTACAGTGCTCTGCAATCCATTTTTCATTTATCAAACATAGTAATCATGATCAAGTTAAAGTCTGTTTCTGATAACTCCATTGTCAGGGTCCCCTGTTGTGTGGTGCTTCTGCTGGATCTCATTCGTAAAATCTTGACTCCTTGTTTGTCTGATAATTTTTCATTGTGTGCCAGAAATTTTATTTCAAAAATAGGTTCTTAGAAAAATTTTGTACTTAGGCTATTGTTGTTGTTAGGTGCCGTCAAGTCTATTTCAACTCCTAGTGACCCCATGTGACAGAGTAGAACTGCCCCCGTAGGGTTTTCTAGGCTGTAATCTTTATGGTCTTTCTCCCCAGGAGATGCTGCATAGGTTCAACCAGCCAGCCTTTCAGTTAGCAGCCTAGGGCTTAACCATTGTTCTTCCAGGGCTCCTTATTTAGGATCTTATCTTCCTTTATCTTCTTTCAGACTTCTGGGGCCCTTGCAGTCTGGGATTATCTTAATCCGGTTTCAGGGAGTGAGGTTATTTAAATGAAGCTGACCTGCCATGGGTGTGAAGTCTTGTTTACTGCAGGTTTACTCTTACTTCTGGTGTGTATACCTTTCTGTCCCAACCCAAAGCACTGAGGTAAGGTCACCTGGTAGACCCCTTTGGCTGGCGTTTGCCACCAGTACATAACCTCCTCCTTCCTCAAAGTTGTCAAAAGCACTACTTAGTATTTTAGCAGACTTTTCCAAAACCAGCAAATGCCTCTAGGCCTAAATGCCCAGCTAATTTATCAGGATACCCTTGTTCTCTTGGATTTTAACCCAGTAACTCTTTACTGTCTTAATATTCAGTATCTTCCAGTAGAGTTAAAAACAAAAACAAATAACAACAATGTTCTCTTCAGTTTTCCTAATTGTTTGTATCTAGTCTGTCACCAATAGGAAATAAGATTTCTTCTTATTTATGATCATTTCTGTAATTTCTAGGTAAAAAAGGTATTTTTTGACACCTAACATGGAAAATGGAAACCCTAGTGGCATAGTGGTTAAGAGCTACGGCTGCTAATCAAAAAAAAAAAAAAGATCAGCAGTTTAAATCCACCAGGCGCTCCTTGGAAACTCTATAGGGCAGTTCTACCTTGTCCTATAGGGTTACTATGAGTCGGAATCAACTCGATGGCAATGGGTTTTAGTAACATGGAAAATATGTAAAAAACCATGTAGTATGTGCTGTTTAAGAAAATACTTACCTTAAAATAATTTCATTATTAAATGTTAAATCTTTTTTTCTGAAAGAGTAACCATTTATCTTTTTTCTTTCTGATGACAACTTCCTGTGTTGCGTCATAGAGGTTATGTAACCATTGTGTTATACAGAGGGATTAATTTTTAAATTTTTTCTTCTCACAGTGCAGTTGTTACAATAAACATATTAATTGTATAAGTAGTTGGAGCTCCTTAGAGGAAATAATCTTTTAATATTTTCTGAATTTCTAAGTATTATTTAAAATTAATCTTCCTTTATACTTTTAGATTTTTCCTTTGATTTTAGAAACAATTTAATTGCCAATTTATATAAAAGTGATGACTTCTGTATGTTAGTAATAAAGGAAAAATTTAAATATTGAAATTGCTTGACTTTTCAGATTGGATTACTTTGATAACATAAAAAATCTTGGTGTGAATTTCCTGTGCACCTCATAATGGTCTTATTTGATTCTTCCTTTAGTGTATTTTAACTTCAGTGTGGTAAATTGATTTAATAAAAATGCCTCTGTTTTCTCTTGTTAGTTGATAACTTCTTAATGACAACTAACAGCCTTTGTGAGAGCAGCACCATTAACACTAATGGGTAGGAAGGACAACTTATATGACATGGGAAAATTTAAAGATGACTAGTGACACTTTGACAAATCTGCCTGAAACAGAACAGAATAAGTTCCATGCTAATTTGAATTATAGGTCATAATGGATTATCTCACACTTTTGTCTGTAGCCTAATGTCCAGCTCTCTTATAACCACAGTTTAGTTCTGTGAGTACTCTAGCTAACAGAGAATGTAATGAACTTTAATTTAGATACCGCAGATTGTGAGGACACTCAGGCTAAATTATCTCTATTTGGCCAAATTAGATTTTAATATTTTAATATTTGCTTAGCTTTCACCTTTTTGGGGGTATGGATTTGAGGATATCATTAGGCATTCTTATAAGGCTTTACTGTACACACCCTAGCCACTAAAATCAATTGGAAAGACAAATTACTGTGAAATGAATGTGATACATGAAAACTGTTAAATGAGAACGTTATATATTACTTCTGAACACTAATGCCTATGGATTTGTTTGATTCTATCATTGAAACAAATTCTTCATAGAGGCAAAGGTCTTTACTAATGGGGAAAACTTCCAGCACTCCTCCCTCATCTCCCATATGAGACTTTGTTTTGAAAGTTTATGAGCTATGATCGGGAGTAGTTCTATCTTGGCACTTACTGTAGATTAGCTGCCTGGTAATTTTTGGATTTAGATTTTTTGCCACATAGTAAGTTGACCCCACTGATAGTTATAATTTTTATTTCTAAGAAATATCAATAACTCTTGTGTAAAATGAGCCTTTTACTATGAAATATACTACTTCGTCCCCTCATTTTTCGTGGTGCTTTTCCCTAGTCCTCTTATATTAACTTCTCCTATTATCTTACAGTTTGCTTTGGTACATTACTTTCTGTTTTTTGTGTGCTCTAGTTCTTTTAGTAGGGCCCTTTTAGTTTTATTCCTATTCATTGGTATAAGAGCATGAAATAATAGGCTTAGGGGCAAATGGAGAGGATATGCAACCAAAGACTAAAACTAAAACTAAAAGGCATTCCTTTGATAAAGGGATAGCTCCTTTAAGTGGGAGCATCACCATTAGCATTAATGGAATAAGTACATCAGCTGAGGCATCTCAGAGGTTAATCAGGCTTCCTGGCCAGCTCTTGACATCAATACACTGTGGCGCCTGATTCTGTTGGTCCTTCAGAAAGAGGCTTTCCTGACAACACCCTAACAGACTTTGTGTAAGTCATTTCTTGTGAATTATTGAAACAAACGTTTGGCTGCCAATTGATGAACGCTAATGTGTTTTATAATCACTGCAGTTTGGGTTTTTAGCACTAAACAAAACAGTTACAATTGATCTGTGGCTTTTTCTTGGTTTCAGTCAGCTGTATGTGATCTTTTCGCTTCAGTCCAACAGATGGCTTTGCTGGTCATTTTATTTAAGTATTCATAGGATACATTATTATAGTTTGCTTTTTTTTCCTTCCATCGTACATCTAAAACATAATTGAGTAGTAGATATTTAGTTTTCAATTAATTGGCCTTCCAGTAGATTTGTCTGATGCTGTCCAACCCGTATAACTTCATTTGGGTACGACTGCTGACTATGCTCTGTATTCATGGAAGTGTGAAATCACGAGTAATAACAGGAATGGATTACAAGGCAGTGTAGGATAGCGATTTAAAAATTAGGGTTTGGGAACAGACAGTCCTGCTTTTGAATTCTGGCTTTGTCATTGGCTAGCTGTTTGAGCTGCCATTTTACTTAACTTCTGTAACTCCAATTTTCTCTTCTGTAAAACTGGGGAAATCTATAGAGATATGTTTAAGAGCTTTGATTAGTCCGTAGTCTATGGTAAAGTTTCCACTGAAACATAATTTCAGTAAAATGCATACTTTGTTAGTGTCAGTTATATGATGTTTTAATGGAAGATTTCTTGGAAATACCACTTTTTCAGTTCCAGCCTTATGTTGTCACATAATTTAATTTTAGCCCAGTTGTTGCTTAAATAAAATTGGGCCTTAAACAAACAAACAAAAACTCTTTTTAAATTAAGATCTGAAATACCTTGTGTATAATAATTTATATTTAAAATTTTAGCTGTAGCGTATGCCAGAATATAGGTGAGGTTATTTTTTCCCCATAATTATTTTAGAAAATTGTTACCTTGTGTTTAAAACCGTTGTAGTCTGTTAGGGCTATTCTCCATACGTTTCGACTGTATATACTTCATGTTGAAGATAATCAGCCTGAATGTACTTTAATCAGTGTTTTTGTTGTTGTTGTTGTTAGTTATAGAGAGCAACTGATCAAATTGGTGTTGGATGCTGTTATAAACAAGACCTTTAAAGAGCTCAGTAAATGGTTACTTTATTATGGGGGATAACGAAAAAAAAAGAAAGCTGTCCTAATTTTCTATGCGAATTCTTAAAGTGCTGTATCTTGAACAATTTGAAGACTGTACCCTGGGAAATGGTCTCAGATATGGTTCTAGTGATGATAAACATTAATATTGAAGATTAATTTGAAATATTTTAATAAATTTTTTTCACAATATAAGAATTGGGAAAAAACTTTCTGGATGCATGCATATTATATAATGTGTTATTTTTAATATGGCCAATGTAATCTAGGCTGCATTTTTTGCATTCTGATGGTGAGACTCTTCTTTAACATGTATGAATTACATAGTTTTCTCTTTCAGATGAAGATATGGTTACTTAAAAAAAAAATTCTGTTAAAGCGTATGAAAATATTGAGATAATGAAATATACGTAAAAGAAAAAGTACTCACACATGACTAATCTATTTTCTTTGAATGACATGGAACTAAAATATAATAAAATATCTTAAGTTGTCTTTAATTGAAATAGTGTATTAGAAGCAATGCATAGAATTTTCTGTTATGAGATGGAAAAGAATCCTCTTAGCTAATTTTATGATATTTTGTTTATCTAGTAATTAGTATCTTGAACAGGGACAATTTTACACATACCAAATCTTGACATGCAATGTTATATAGTATCACATTATAGCTTTATTTTGCAAGAGTACATAGAGATTCTACCAATGTCTCAGTCTTTTTTTATGCTAGAAAATAGATACAAAATTATATTTGATTTTTAAAAAAATAGTACATCACATAGTGCCACTTTTTACTATGGCATATATTTTAAGATATATACATTAAGGGAAGGGAAAATGAAATATTTTATATAAAATTTTATACCCTCATGTGGAACAAAGCTCTTTAATTATTTACCTTTGACTTCATTCTGGAACTAATATTGATTTTCTAACTAAAATTCAAGATGGCAATAAAAGTCAGACTGAATTTCTGTGATAATTCCCTTAAAACCACTGCTACATGAAAAATTTTAAGTGCATAAAGGATTTCTTAGTATAATGAATATTTGGGTAAATAGAATGTGTATTTCTGTTTAGAAGTCAGATACTGATGTGAGGTCATATATTTTGCCTTTCATTTCATAGACATTGAAAACTGGCCTGACAATGGTTGGGAAAGTGGTAACCCAGCTGACAGGCACTCTGCCTTCAGGTGTGACAGAAGATGATGTTGCCATCCATAGTAATTCACGACGGAGTCCTTTCGTCCCAGGCATAATCACAGTTATTGACACTGAAACAGTTGGAGAGGGCCAGGTAAGAAGAGCTTTCATGCATGCAATGTGTGTTTCAAGAAGAGGCTGGACTAAGTAAGTATATCATTTGGTACCAATTTATTAGCCAAAATGTACTAGGCCTAGGAGATCATTAATTTGGAATTCTAGAAATTTAGATTATTTCCGGGTAGAATTTTTTTAAGAAATACTAACATGTTAAAACCTATTATTTCAAACATTATAGATATATCAAACCTGAAGGTAAAGCTGAAGTTGTAAGGAATTCCCCGTATCGGGATATTTATTTTTAAGTAATAATTATCTTTTTATACTGTTCCTTTCATAATACCGCTTCGTTTTTATGTGTAATGATGTTTGTTATAACCTAAATTATAAGACTTAAAATTTCTATTTAAGGCTGAGGCTTGCTCATAAAAGGAATCAACAAGATGTTACATATTTGGGACAGAAATAATAATTAGTAAATAATATCAAAATTAGTATGGATAAAAATTTTCTTATAAATAGCAAAAAAATCATGAAATCTCAATCTAGCATATCAGAATACATGTTAACAGTTTATAAAATCTTGTGTCTTCAGATAAAAACAAGTAGTTGTAATGCTTTTTAACCTAGATTCCGAAACGTTTAGGAGGGCTGATTATAAACATGAAAAAACATTTTATGCTTGCATTTAAATATTCCTGGTAAAAAACTGCATATAATTTGGGTTCTGATTTTTTCTGTTTGCACTCATGAACATTATTATTATTATTTGCATCATAGTCTTGTCTTGATTTTTAAAATACATTTCTAAAGGGAAGGTTTTTTTTAATTATTCTAGTAGTTTGTGATAATTCTTATAAACAATATAATCTAAAGTCAACTCCTCAAGTAAATAAGAGCAGAGCAAGATTTTGCAAATAAAAATTATTTTAGTTTTATAAAGTACAACAACATATTTAATTCTATGTTCAGAGCAATGTTTAGAAACTTTGTGAGCATTAAAGTATTAATCCTGAATATTGCAATTTTTGAGAAAATTTGCTACCAGTATATATGGGCTGACATTTGATGAAAGATGATTACATTTGGCAGCTTCTCATGTGGTATTTCCTATAGTAAGATCAGATGGCCCTTTAAGAAAATGTTTAATTTACTGCAGTTAAAAGAGAATAACTTTGAAATTCTGGGTTATTGAATTTGACTATCATATTTTTATTTGAAATCTGAATAAGAATAGTTCTCCCCTCCCCCCATCTTTACTTTGTGGTTAACCAAATATGTTAACCCATTTCTGTGCAGTCGGTTCCGACTCATAGCGACCCTATAGGACAGAGTAGAATTGCCCCATAGGGTTTCCAGGGAGTGGCTGGTGGATTCAAACTGCCAGCCTTTTGGTTATCAGCCAAACTCTTAACTATTATGCCACCAGGGCGCCCCAGATGTGTTACAGGCTTGTATTCTTGTTTAAAACTCTTTTTTAATGAAGTGCTAGCAAGTTTTCAGTTCACTGTAATGAGTTTTTTTTTTTTTTTTTTTTTTAATTCTGTTAATTAGGTGAAGTGGATAGATACATACAGATGTTCTCTTTTTAAATTGGAGTTAAATATATAAACCCCTAATGTTTTATGAGTGTTAAAGTAAAAAATACTTTCTTTTGGCCTTGATTCTTGATTTTTAATTAATTCATCTACAAGGCCACCCACATTACTGTGAAGTAATAACCCTCATCAACATTGTCTAGTTTGGTGACTGTAAGTCTGTTAAAGATCTAGCATTTGTTGACAGAGATTTGTGGTTATTTAAGGATAGAAAACGTTCTCTTAATATTTTTGATGAAATCAAGAGGTAAAACTCGTATATTAATTTATTTCATTATATTGAAGTACAGGTGGTCCCTGGGTTATGAACATCTGACTTACATACAACCCGTAGTTATGAACCAACCCCTGTAAAGCTTATTATATTAAAAACTCGAGGTACATATAATGTTTTGTAATAACAAATGAGCACTACTTTGCAACACCCATCAAAACATTATTATTATTGTTATGTTAAAGATATTTTAGTGTGTCTGGAAGTGTTTCTTTAGTGTATTTTATGCATAGAAAGGTTCACTATATACTATATACTAAGACAAACTTTTGATTAACTGACAACTGATGTTAGATAGGAACTGTACCTAACTGTTCCAACTTATGTAGAAATTCGATTTAAAGACAGACTTAGGAATGGAAATTGTTCATAATCTGAGGACTGCCTCCATAGGAATATATTATAAGAAAAAATTTAAATAAAAGCATAGCATAAGAATTAATGTTTTTAAATGTGGTTTGGTTTTTCATTCCTGTTCTGCATTAACTTTTTATGACTTTAAAAAGGAATTTTCAGTAAGTGAGTTTAGGAATATGTAAATAGACTAGATTGTGGAATTGCAAAAAGTTCATTTCTCTGTGATTGATGTGTTAGGAACACTTAAAACACTTGAAAGATGTTTATTAGGAAATAGAAATTATAGGAATGTTAGTTTTTAAAAGTTAACATCTCATGTTGTTGACCATGAAATATTTATATTTTCTGTTATTGGTTGGGAGCTATAATCTATTTTCATTCCTATTTATTACATATTCTGAAAATTTAACTTGATTTTTAAAATCCACTGTAGAACAGAAAATAGATTTATTTTTAATAAAAGATATGTTGCTGTGTACATTTTAAAAGAATTATAAATATTTTCAAAGCACCAGGATTCTCTCCGAGTGTAATACTGACCGTCTTTCTTTTATTAACGTGAATCTGTTTTTTGTCAAGAAGACATTTTTTGTCTGTGATTAATAGTTCAGTTGGAGTATGAGGCTGTTTTTAGGATTGCAGTGGTTAATGTCATAGATTTATCACTTTTAGCTCTTTCCACTGATGTTTGACCTTAGCTGTAATGTTTTTTCTTTTCCTCATATATCTCAGGTAATAAGGCTGATGTTACATTGGCTTTTGCTGTTTAAATCCATTGAGCCTTTAATAAACATTGTCCTGTTTACAGTGGTAGTGTATAAATTTGACTCTTCATCTTTCTGATGATAAATTGATTAGTTTGATTTTATGATGACAGGATCATTGTTTGGTAACTGCATTAAGGCAGAATGGATTTGATTGACTTTGTGTCTGTTTTTATCTGTGTTACTTTCATGTTTTATTTAAAAGCATTTCTTGACTAGGATAAGTTGAGTGGTATCATTTGCCTTTACAGGTTTATATAATTGAAGTCATAATGGATAATAACTACTAGTTAGCAAGGTGGAGAAATCTCTAATTAAAGAGAAAGGACTCAGAATGATGATAGAGACTTGAGTTATTTCTTGCCCTGAGAGCAAATGTTATTCATAACAATTTAATGATTTTGTCTATCTTCTTGTTCAGACAATAATGGCTAGCTTATCCATCTTGTATCAGTTAAACTGCTTTGCTTTGTTTCGGTACAGTCAAGTTGTGAATACATATTTAGGGTTCAGCGTGCTTAGTTAAGTGGTGAGTAAAGATTAGGTCTTCGGCAAGTTTTATTTGGATATCTCTGGTACTAATGGTTTGATGTTTTCGGAAAGGTGATAATGCAGTTCTAAAGTGCCTCGTTCTATAAGAAGAGAGGAGAAGGAAAGGAAAGGGAATTTTATAAAATCAAGTCGTAGAACAAGGGACAAAAGATAGGAATAAATATTTCACACGGGGGAAAAATGTACAAATGGTCCGTCTGTGTGACTCCACTGATTGTAAGATAAATGTAAATTAAAACTACACTGAGATACCATTTATCACCTATCAGAATGGGAGAAATATAAAAGCTTGCAGTATACTGTTTTAAAAAGTTTTAACTTTGAAGTAATTACAAACTTATACTAAGTTGCAAATATATCCATGTGCCCTTAACTCAGCGCTCTCCAGTTTTCCTCTTATGCTGACATATTTTATAGCTGAAGTACAATATCGAAGAAACATCAAATTTTTATTATTAAAAAAATTAAAAACTGTTTAAAAGAACTATTGACACTAAATTCTCTATCTAGAGAAAATATCTTTTAGGAATCAAGTAGAAACAAACACATTCTTAGAAAATGGAAAACTAAGTGAATTTGTCACTAGCAGATTTACTGTTAAAGAATGCCTAATGGAAGTTGTCCAAGGAAATGATAGCAGAAGGCTTGGAACTTGAGAAAGCAAAGAACAATGGAATGGGTAAAAATAGTGCTATATGTAGTAGATTATCCTTCCTCTCATCAGTTTTTAAAATTATATGTAATGGTTGAAGCAAAAATTATAATATCATCTGATATGGGGTTCAGTATATGTAGGGAAAATTCTTATGACATTTATTTTAAAAAGTGTGACTGTAAATTGAACTTCAGAAGTTAAAATCTTTTATGCTGTGAAGAAAGTGAAAAGACAATTTAGAGAATGAGAAAATATTTGCAAATCATATATCTGGTAAGGGACTATATCTAGAATATATAAAGAACTCTTGTTGTTAGCTGCTTTTGAGTCAGCTCTGACTCATGGTGACCCCATTTACAACAGAATGAAACATGGCCTGGTCCTGTGCCATCTTCAAAATCTTTGGTATACTCAAGTTTATTGTTGCAGCCACTGTGTATTTTGAGTGCCTTCCAACCTAGGGCGCTTATCTTCCAGCTATATATGAGACAATATTCTGTTATGATCCATATGGTTTTCGTTGACTAATTTTTGGAAATAGGTTGCCAGGCCTTTCTTCCTACTCTGTCTTAGCCTGGAGCTCTGCTGAAACCTGTCCACCATGGGTGACCCTGCTGGTATGAGAAATATCAGTGGCATAGTTTCCAGCAAGCCACCACAGTATGACAAACTGACAGACAAGTGATGAAAAGAACTTACAACTCAATAACAAAAGGACAAATAATGGACATTTCTCAAGTTATACAAATGGCCAATAAACTCATGAAAAGATACAGAACTTCATTAGTCATTAGGGAAATGGAAATTGAAACCACAATGAGATACCACTTGACACCCACTAGGATGGCTGTAATAAAAACGACAGACAATAACAAGTGTTGTCAAAGATGTGCAGAAATGGGAACCCACATACATTGCTGGTGGGAGTGTAAAGTGGTGTAGCTTCTTTGGAAAACAGTCTGGCAGTTCTCCAAACGATTAAGGATAGAGTTACCATGTGACCTAGCAATTCAACACCTAGGTCTAATACCGAAGAAAAATGAAAACATGTATCCTTGTAAAAACTTGTAAACAGATGTTCACAGCAGCATTTTTAATACTAGCCAAAATGAGGAAACAACCCAAATGTCCATCAGCTGATGAGTAGGTAAACAAAATATGGTAGATTCAGGCAATGGAGTATTATTTTGCCGTAAAAAGAAATGTAGTACTAATAATTCATGTTACAACATGGATAGACCTTGAAAACATTATGCAGAGTAAAGCAGTCACAGTAGACCACACATATTGTATGGTTCCATTTATATAAAATGTCTAAATTAGGCAAATCTATAGAACAGAAAGTAGATTAGTGGTAGTGTAGGGCTGGGAGGTTTCAGGGGAAATAGGGAGTGACTTTTTGAGGTAATGAAAATGTTCTAAATTTGGTGGTGGTGTTGGTTACCTAACTTTGTGAATATAGTAATGTATGAAAAAACTACTGAACTATACATGTTAAATGGGTAAATTGTGTGGTGTGTGAATTTTATCTCAAGGCCATTTAAAAAGAAGATACTAATACATCTCTTAAAGCAAAGACCTAGGCTATTTAGAAACGTTGGCCTACTTCACTTTTCTGGAGATTGCCCCTATAAGGAGAGCAATATTCATATGTACGTATGTGTGGTATTTTCCTTCTTTTTTTTTTTTTTTATTTTTGGTCACAGCTGTTGAAAACTCTATAGAGTGCAGTTTCCTTCTGACACACGGGGGGTTGCTATGAGTTGGAATCAACTCCTGGCAACTGATACTAGTAAATTTTTTTAAAGTCTAATGTAACCAGAAAAAAGAGAAGGGAAAAGTAGTTCAGAATGCATCTTTAAAAAAAAAAAAATTGTGATAAAATACATATAATAAAATATTTAACCCCGAGACTATGGCACTGGGACACCCTGCTAACTCAGAACTGAAGCCACTCCTGAAGTCCACTTCAGCCAAAGATTAGACAGGCCTATGAAATAAACAATAACATGCGTGAGAAACATGCTTCTTTAATTCAATCAAGTATACAAGAACAAATGGGCAACACCTGCCCAAAAGCAAAGGTGAGAAGTCAGGAAGGGACAGGAAAACTGGACGAATGGACTCAAGGAACCCGGGGTGTAAAGGGGATGGGGGAGAGTGCTGACACATTGCAGGGATTGCACCCAATGTCACAAAACAATTTGTGTGTAAATTTCTGAATGAGAGACTAATTTGCGATATTCATTTAGTTCAATACAGTGGCCTCTAGCCACATCTGGTTATTAATTAATTAAAAAATTTAGCTCCCCTGTCACACTAGCTGCATTTTAGGTCTTCAATTACCACATCACTAGTGACTGTTGTATTGTATAGCACATTTATAGAACATTTCCAGCATCTCATAAAGTTCTGTTGGACAGTGCAGCTCTAGAGATTATAACTTCATCCTTGATCTATTAAAGGCTAATGCATTTGTTTAATTTTTTGAATTTTGGTATTGTGAATAAAGATTTTCTCAGATGGTACAAGGCTTGAAAACAATTTAACCCCTTTTATTATATTTCCTCTTAAATAATATTGTAGTCTGTTTTTCTCTGTATGTCTTTAAACTGATTTATTGAATATTATTGATATTCATTTAGCTTTTTATCCCCATATTTACTCTTTTATTTGCTTAATTGAGCTCCTATTTGGGGATATTTTTCTTCTGCCAAGAATACCCTTTTATTTCCTTTTCTGTAGATACACTATTGATGAATTCTCTGTTTTTGTTTGTCTGATGTGATTATTTCATTAACGTTATTGAAGGATGTTTTTGCCGGGTATGGCGTTGATGTGATTTTTTGAAAGCACTTCAAATATATCATTTCATTGACTTTTCTATTATGATTTCACTTCTCATTCTAATTGTTGCTTGTTTGAAGGTGTTTTATCTTTGTTCTCTATCTGCTTTTACTTTGCAGTTTTACTATGATAAGCGTAAGTGTGGTTTTCTTGCTAGAACTTTTGAGCTTCTTGGATCTGTTGATATCTTTAACCAGTTTTCAGATATTACTTTTGCCTCATTCACATTTGGAAGACCAATTACACATGTTTGTCCTTCTCAGTTTGCTCTAAGTGTCTCAAGCTCTTTTCTGTGTTTTCTAACTTTTTGTCACTCCATTTTTCTCTCTGGATATCTTATTTTGTTCTGTATCTAGTTTTTCAAATATTTCTTCAGCTGTATCTAATCCATGTTAAATATGTCCATTAAGTTTTTCAGTTACTGTGATACTCAGTTTTATGATTTTCATTCGCTTCTCAGCATAAGTTTTTGCTGATTTTTGTGTGTTTTGTTTAATATGTATAGGTGAAATAACGTAATTCCTTGAATTTGCTTTAAAATACTCCAGCAAAATGATACAAAGGGATGGATGAATCAAGATTGTCAAAATGTTATATATTTAAAATTTGCATTATCAAAAAAACACATACATACAATAATATGGGGTATTTGAGGATTTGCAAGAATTACTGTTTTTTTTAGATGTAATAATGGAATGTGATTTTATTTTATTTTGTTGTGCTTTAATTGAAAGTTTACAATTCAAGTTAGTCTCTCATACAAAAATTTATACATACATTGTTTTGCGCCCCTACTTGCTCTCCCTATACTGTGACAGCACACTCTTCCTTTCCACCCTGGATTTCCCATGTCCATTCAACCAGCTCCTGACCCTCTCTGCCTTTTCATCTCGCCTCCTGACGAGAGCTGCTCATTTAATCTTGTATATCTGCTTGAGCTAAGAAGCACACTCTTCACGAATCTCATTTTATGTGATTTTATTTTTATTTTAAAACTATAGTACCTGTAGGTGGAAATAGGAGAAAATCTATGGTTAGGATATATGACTCTGAAAGTACGACCCATAAAAGAAAAAGTGAATAACGTTGGACTTCATTTGAACTTAATATTTCCCGTAAGAAGACATAACTTTACAAATGGAAAGCAAAGCCTTAGACTGGGGGAAATCAGTTTATGAAATAAAGTTCTTGTATCCAGCATTTGTAAAGAACACTTACAAGAAGACGAAGAACTCAATTAAAAATGGGGAAACAATTTTAGTAGCTATTTTACTCCAGTGAAGCTATATGAATAACTAGTAAGCACATGAAAAGTTACTTGTCATCATTAGTCATTCTGGAAATGAAAATTAAAACCACAAGATACCAGTACCCATTTGATAAAATGCCTATAATTTAAAAAACTTACAATACAAAGTGTTGGAAAGGATGTGAAGAAGTCAAAAATTTCACACGTTACCGGAGGGAATATAAAGTGACTAAGCTACTGTGACAGTTTAGTGGTTTCTTAAAAGTTAAATGTACACTAACTGTATTACTGAATAATTCAACTAAGTATATCTCCTCAAGAGAAATGAAATTATATGTCAATATAAAGATGTGTATGTAGATTTTCATAGCAGCATTATGTGTAATATAAAAAACAATCCAAATGCCCAAGAATTAGTGGATGAATCAACAAAGCCATACACCCATACGATAGAATACATTTCAGCAGTAAAAAGGAATCAATGATTCTAAAAACCACACCTTTTGTACTTTTTAACATAGGGCTTTTATATGTTTTTTGTGTGTGTGCTTAACAATTTATTATTTATTATTAATAACTACATTAGTTTTCCCTCTTCTGGTGTTCTTTTAATTCCAATAATGGGCAATTGTTTTTTTTTATTTTACAGCAGAGTACATACCACAATACGAACTGTATGTTCCTGCCCTTCGATGAATCCCTATGTGATTATAGTTTATAAAGAATTGAAAATAGCCAATTTTATGATTTTCATTTTCCTGAAACTATAGTTCAAAAAATAATTGTCTCTGCCATCTACAATCATGTCAACCCACTGTTTTTGGAGCATACTGGGGCATGTTATCTCTTTTCCTCATTCCTAAAATGGTATTCTTACTTTCTACTGACAAGAACAATTTTCCAATAGAGTGGAAGTTTGTTATTTTGTCAGTGATGTTGTGAAATAGTTGTGTATAGTCTGCAAGTTCAATTACTGGTCAGAAAATATTTAATTTCCATTTGTGTTTATTTTTTTTGCAAAGGTGCTTTTGAGCGAGGATTCTGACAGTGATGGTATTGTGGCCCACTTCCCTGCTCATGAGAAGCCAGTGTGCTGTATGGCTTTTAATACAAGTGGTAAGTCCTTTTGTTGCCATTTATATCTTGGGTTTTCACAACTAATTATTGTATTTTTTCCTCAGAAAATTAACCACACTTTATAATATCATCGAAAGTCCAGTCCTTATTCGAAAATTTCCCAATTGTCCCAAAAATGTGTTTTATAACTGTTTCAAGCCATGTTCTAATAAGGTTCATGCCTTACATTTTGTTATGTCTGTTTGGATCCTTTTTGTCTTCTGTCTTTTTTCCTTTGAAATGTTCAGACCAGTTTTATTGTCCAAATTCTGGTTTTGTCAGCTTTTTTTCATTATGATATTTTCTTTATCCCCTCAGTTTCCTTTAACTGGAGGTTAGGTCTTCCAGTTAAAGCTTGAATAGATTCAAACTGAGGATTTTTCTTTCTTTCTTTTTTTTTATATTTTATTGTACTCTTGTACCTCATTAGTCTCATTTGGTTTTACGGGGCTGTCCACTCCCAGGCTGAACAGTGAACCTCGGAGGTAACTTCACCACTGAGCTAAACCGGTGTCTGGGGGCCATACTCTCGAGGTTTCTCCAGTCTCCTTTAGGCCAGTAAATCCGGTCTTTTTTTTTGTGAGTTAGAATTATGCTCTACATCCTTCTCCAGCTCTGTCCAGAACCCTCTGTTGTGATCCTGGTCAGAGCAGTCAGTGGTGGATTTTTCTATTTTAAAAAAAGTGCATAAAAAATACCGTATATATTCATCACTTTTCTCCCAGTAGCACATTGTGTAAGATTGTGTCTCTTTTTGCGAAACTATATTTGATCACATGAATAGTGTAGTGACCATCACATGTCTACATGCTAGAGATAGTTTTTCTTATGGAGATTAGCAAGTAATTTCAGGGGCATAATTTTGACTTTATTTCTGAAATATTTTTTACTTCATAGTTTTGTTACATTGAAGGTTGCCTAGTGGTGAATTTTCTAATTCTGTCATTTCTTCTGCATTTATTAGGTGTTATACTTTTATACATAACTTTAGTAAAAAAATTCTGTCTTATAAACTAGGAATGAACCACAGTTCTCCTGTATATAAAGTCAGGATAAATGCTTAATTCTTTCTTTTCCTTTAATTTTCAGTTTTCATAGTAAGGAGTTGGTCTAATACTTCCAGTGGTGGAAAATGAGTTATTTTTAAAATACTTTGTTTCTAAATAAAAAATAAAATAACTCTTTTCCTTTCTAGGCTGGTAGTCTTTATGAATTTATAATCTTGTCACATGTAATCTGTTTTGTTGGTGCATCTGAGGAGCCTGCCATTTTTATCTTATTCTTCAGAAATGATTCTATCACTTAAAATTGATGAGAAAGACCCATCTTATTGCTGTTCTTTTCATCTTTTCAAATGAAAGAATGATGGAAAGAGGATAACATAGAGCACTTTGAATAATCCTCCTTCTAATATCTTAATTAGTCATTTTTGATAAAGAGAGGAAGATTTTTGTAGTGATTGGATTGATTTTATTAATGAAGACAAAGATTTATTGAAATGCTCTGAAGATTGTGGGAATTAAGTTAAATTTGAAGAAACAGTCTGGAAGTTATGTCACTTAGAGCACTCTGCTTGGAGTAACCAGTATGACTCATTTTGATATTCCATCTGTTATGTCAAAACTCCTTTGTAATAGTGTATATTTCATATTACCCTAGTTAAAGTGCTTCTGACATTGGAAGCTGTATTTTCCCTGTCTATGACTTTGCATTATAATCAGAACATATTTTATAACTTAAAGAATATTATGGGCATCTCTGTCTTTGTAAGCAATTAATTTTCCATCAAAAATGGTTTCATAATTTTGATCTACATTTGCCATTTGGTTTCTGCTTGACCTCCCAAATTTGTGTTTTTATCATAAGATTAGCAATAGCAATATTTATACCTATTTTTCTGTGCTTCCAGGGCATTCAGTTTATAACTCTTCGATGTAATTTCTCTTGTAGTTACATCATTTGTTTAAATATCTGTTTCTCCAGCTAACTTCTGAGTTCCTCCCACATAGGGACTGGAGGTCATTCGTCTTTGTGTCTCTAGTCCTAGCATAGTGTCTCAAACATAATATCAGAGAATTTATTGAATTTATACAACTTTTACTCATTCTCTACTGTAGATACATGACACTATGCTATGTGTCATATCCCCTGCTTTCACAATAAGAGTGATAGGTCAATTCAATACTTACTTTTCTTTTTTCCTTCTTTCTTTTTCATGTGATGTTTTCATCAGTATCAACTGCAGCTAATCTGGAATTTATTCACTTTGAGAATTGTGTTTATTATTTTGTATGGGGATGCTGATCTATGGAGGTTTGAGATTCCTAGTTTTCAGATTTTTGCATTGGTCAGTAAGATGCCCACAGTCTGCCTGGATATCAGGCTAGGGTGTTAGATGAGAAAACATTTACATATAAGTATCCATATGGATCCTGCCACTTATATGTATCAGGAATAAAAGTATTTTTTAAAATGTACTCAACATTTTAATACACATAAGTTGACAGTCTTCAACTGTTCTGTTCTTAATTCAAACTCACATTGAAACTTTTAATTTCTTTGCAGAGAAGATCTTTTTTTTTAATCATACTTTAGATGAAGGTTTACAGAACAAATAGTTTCTCATTAAACAGTTAGTACACATATTGTTTTATGACAATGGTTAACAACCCCATGATATGTCAACACTGTCCCTTCTCAACCTGGAGTTCCCTATTACCAGCTTTCCTGTCCCCTCTCGCCTTCTAGTCCTTGTCCCTGGACTGTTATGCCCCGTTAGTCTTGTTTTGTTTTATGGGGCTGTCTAATCGTTGGCTGAAGGGTGAACCTTGGGAAAGACTTCATTAATGAGCTAAAAGAGTGTCCAGGGGCCATACTCTTGGGG